CGCGTAAGGTCTTCAGGATATGCCACAGGGGATTGCGGCGGGCCTTTGCTCCATAACGCTACGCCGCCTACTCCTTATTGTTCTTCTTTAACGAAGAAAAATGGCCTGAATGATGATACGAAGATATTCTGCCTAAATGTTTTGTGCCTACTCTGCGAATGGGGGTTAGACACCGAAATTGCGTTGATAAGCTGTCATCTAAAGTGGCTCAAACTAAGTACGGCAGAACGTAGTTGTTCGTGTCCTTACAATTGTTGTGCGCATCCCGCACAGAGGAGCAAATTCCTGTATAAAGTTTGCAATAAACTTTGCTTATTAGCTGGATTTCTCTTTGTATTGGATGCACAATGTGCAACATGTGTAGTTTTTTTTTTGTGCTTTATGAATTCTACAGCGAATTTTTAGTAAGCTTGTTGTTCTTTTTCAGAGATCCGCGTACAAGTTCCTTTCTGGAGAATCAACATGGGTATCCCCGAGCTTTTGCTGCAAGTCATACCTGTGATGGAGCAGCCAAATTGTACTTTTAGAAAAAAAAAGAATGCATTTTGCTGTAAGAATGTATTGCATTACATTTTGTAACTGCTGATTCAATCACCTCGTTTGTTTACCCCCATTCCTCTTCGATCATTGTATCATTGATCCTATTCGCATTCTTAGAAAGAACTTGTTCTTAGTGGTTTTTGCGCCACATGTGTTCTTGTTTCTTGCTTACTTTAAGGAGTTTCTCCAAATTTACATTTTTTCCTTTGTGACAAGCGATTGGTATTTCAAGAATAGTTATCATGACTCTTACAGTGTTTCCAATAAGTACTTTCCAGAATGCTCGAGGCGGTGACTCAGAAGCATTGGTGTTCCAAAACTTATCTGGTGAACGAGAAACTTTTTCCTACGTTCCATGCACACTCAGGTGTAATGGTTGTTTGTTGGTTGTTGATTCGCCGCGCGTGGTAACCCAACACCTAATTGCGTCATCTCCATATATGCTCGTAGTGCATCGACTTGTCACATCTTATTTCCCATAACTCTGTTTTCATCCGCCGCGTGTTCTTAGATGTCTACATGTCTGCAATTTAACAAAAAATGTGCCCTGAAAGTTTAGGGATGCCATAATGAGGAAAGCGGGAAGCATAGGAGACCCAGATGCTGACGCCGAGACTCGATCTGCACCTGGCGATCTCGGAGGGACTCCTAAGCGCGCTCGTGCCACGAAATGGTGAGTATGGTCCAGTGCAGGAGCGTTTGCGGGCTTTCACATGCGAGTGCTTTCTAGGGGTGGAGCACACGCGTCAGCTTGTTGGATTTATTAGCTCGACATACCTGTCGCTTTGATCGAGAGTTTTTGCTTCGCCGCCTTAGCGTCGCATAAGCAACATATTACGGAGCCACTTTTTTTCTATGCAGCTTGTTTGCATCAGAGCTAAATCAACTCAGAGGCATATCGTAGAAGTTTTCTTCTAAATTATTCGGTTTTTTCTTCCATTCTTCCAAAGAAGTAACGGTTGATTGTGTAGCTGTAACTGAAATTGGAGATTTCCAGACCAGAGGCGTACAAGTGAACGGAAGATTTATGCAGGTGTGACTGTTCTCGCCGCAAAATCAACGCTATCGCAA